GGGCTCAGGCAATCCACTCACCTCAGCCTCCCAAAGGCGCGGGATTACAGGCTGAGCCACTGAGCCCGGCTTGGAGCTACAGCTTTCAACCTTGCCTGTCACGTAATTGCTGTGTGTCTATGGCCCAGTTACTTGCCCTCTCTGGTTTCATAACACCACAGCAATGACCGAGATGGACAAGATGCTCTCTAAGGTCCCTTCAACTGACACAGATGCACCCTAAAGTGGGTGGGGCAGGAGGTTCCACACCCGTTGTTGGAGTGCCTAGCGCCTTGCATCAGATCTGCCTGAGCCCTGGCAGGAGCAGGGAATGGGGGAGGGACATTCTGACCCCAGTTGGGAGAGATGGGAGGTCTGAAGACAGGTTTGAGGAAATCTTGGGTCTCTCCTCCCCTAGATTTCCTGGACCTATGCCTTGGGCAAGCAGCAGGTCAGTTTCTACCAGGTCCTGCTACAGGAGGTGGCCAAGGTAAAAGGCAATGAGTTGTCCAAGGCAAAGAATCGCCCATGGATCTTCAACAAGATCCTGGGCACCACTGTCAAGCTGATGGAGCTGAAGTCGAACACATGTTACTACCTCACTGTCCGAGCAGCCAATGCAGCAGGGGTGGGGAAGTGGTGCAAGCCCTATAAGGTGAGCTTTGGGAGGAGGGCCCTAGGGTCGGCAGGGGAGTCGGGTGGGGATCTGAAACCAAAGGGCACCCCTGCATCACCACATTCATCCCCTTGCTAGCTTTCCTTCTGCCTGGGCTAGTAAGCATCGATTCCAGGCGGCTTTCTTCTGGGAGGTTTAAGGATTAAGCCACTCTGGGGCCAACCAGGATTGGGAATTAACGTATTCATCAGCATCTCTCTAAGGTTCATCTTCCAAAGCCATTGGTTTTTGGATTCCTCAACTCAGAACCAACGAGTGTGCTGGGAAGTCAAGGGCATTGAAGGATTCAGGGAAGACAGGAGGCTAAAGGGGGACAAAGAAGGAAGCAGCCTGGGGTCAGGGAAGGGGAAAGGCCTGAGTACAGATGACTCTTTGTTTGGAAACAGCATACAGCTGGGGTGGCACAGGTTTGTCCTAGCTCTTCAGACAGGGCTGCTGTGGCAATGGCTAGGTCAAGCAAGGCTGAAGTCCCATTTGGCAGTCAGAAGACAGAGAAAAGACAGTGAGCCGGATGCAGGTCTGGGAATGAGCTCTGAGGGGTTCTCTTGTCTCACTTCAGTTTGCAACTGTGGCCACTGACTTCAAGAGCTTCCCCGAGAACAACCCCATCCAGATCACCGTGCAGCGCAAGGAACCCCAGCGGAAAACTGTGTCCATAGGGCTGGAGGAGATGCGGAGGCTGGAGGACCTGGAATACTTATTTCCCTACTAAGGGGGACGGCCCCGGATGCTCCCCACCAACCTTCAGCTTCAGCCCAGGGCTCTCAGCAACCAGAACCATGACACATACTGTACCACCAGCACCACGCCCGGGTACCACTGACCACCCCGCTGCCCCAGGGCCTGGCATAGTGGTACCAGAACCCTATCCCTGGGCTGGGGCCAAGGTTGGACAGGGGTCTCATTCACCTGGAGCCATCTCAGATCAGTCCAGGCCAGGCTCAGCCACCACCCATAGCTGCTAGTCTCCCTCCTCCTCCAGATCTGAGCTGGGTCCAGGTCCCTCATTAAAGAACCGCCGGTCATCCAGCACCCCTAAATTGACAGACTCAGATGAACCTGTTGTTACTTGCCTCCCAGTTCCCGCCAGGGCCAAGAGTCCAGGTTGGGTGGGTAGAAGGGGGGCTGGACAATGGGATACCATCAGCTCTCCCCCAGTGGAGGGGGGAGGGGAGACTGGGACTCAAGACTCAAACTCTGTTACACCAACAATTGTGGACAGACGTGGTGGCCCAGACTGGGAGACTACACTTAAGCTCTGAAGTGCTGTGGTTCCAAGTACACAAGCTTTAAGCCAGGACCTGGTTTAGTCCCAGCTCTTCCTCTTACTGGATGTGAAGGTATGGGCTAATGTATGTGAGAACCTTCCAGGCATGGTGCAGGATCTGACAGAACATAGTAGACAAGCACTTAGCATGGAGGAGCACAGCAGCTAGTGGCTCCTTGTGTCTCTCACGCAGCCTTATGGCAGAGATGTGCACAGTAGACCCACAGCCAAGTGTTGTGTAGAATCATAAGCAGATGGGGGCCGGGCTCAGTGGCTCAGCCTATAATCCCAGCACTTTGGGAGGCTGAGGCGAGTGGATTGCCTGAGCCCGCAGGTTCGAGATCAGCTCCAGCAACTTGGCGAGATCTCATCTTTACTATAAAATCAAAACTTAGCCAGGTATGGTAGCGTGCGCCTGTAGTTCCAGCTACTTGGAGGGCTGAGGCGGAAGGATCGCTGGAGCCCAGCAGGTCAACGCTGGGATGGCCATGAGGGTGCCACTGTACTCCAGCCCAGGTGACAGAGTGAAACTCCCAATCAAAAAACCCAGATGGAGTGAGAAGGAACGACACTAGAAATGCTGTGGCCCTGAGCAGTTCACACAAGGATGGCCTGGAAGCCCAGCCTGAAGGATCCACTATGACCCAGTCTAGCACCAGATATAGAGGAGTACATACAGGGCAAGATCTTGGTCAAAGGTCTAAGGAGGTCCTAGTAGGGATGGATTCCTTTCATTACCTGAAATTTCTCACGAGACAAAGATAGACCCTACCCACTTCTGCTCAGAGCTTACACCACTGCTTCCTCATCCTGTCTCCTCCAGGATAGCCATTGCCTTTCTCCTCCACCCTGAGGCTAAGTGCAGGGCTCAGCGCCCAGTAGGACATCAAGAAGCATGTGTAAGAGAGGCAGAGACACCCATGGGAGCAGGGCTGCTGCAGAATGCTGTGAGGGAAACCTTTATCTGCGCTGTCCAATACAGCAGCCTATAGCTAGCGTGACTGAGGAACTGCATTTTTAACTGTACTTATCTAGTTTCTGAAAAGTCACATGTGGCTGGTGCCTACCACAGCAGATCGTTCAGCGCTAGACAGTCCTCTAGCTATGATCACTCTGGCCTCTTCCTTATAGGGACAGGGAGGAGAGGAAAGGCAACTGCCTGGCCAAGTATGGCTTGGGTGTAGTCCTGTACGAGGGAGGGGGCTTGACAAACTGATTTGTCACAGTCCTTGGTTGAGCTCTAGGATTCTAGGGCAAAGAGTTATAACCCAAACACACAAAATAAGTTATTTATTTGGTCACAGAACCTAACACTTGGAAAAGGTAGCAGGGGCAACCGTAGGGGCCCAGTCACAGAGCCTGGCCTCCCCCACACCACTGCCTGCACCAGCAAGGCACACAGTGGCAGTCACAGCCAAGTTCAGTGCTAACTTACTACAACCTTCGATTTCTGGCTCTGGGGCATGCCACGGGCAAGGGACCTATGGAGGACAACCCCACTGGAGTCTGTCAAGGACAGCAGGCCATGTATGTTCTCAGGTCACGCTGGCGAGGAGGGTGTGTACATTGCCACCTTGGCCTTTGTTCTCCAGCATGATGAATCCAGGTGGGGGTCAGGGAGAACTATAATCCTTCTCACCTCCTCCATCTGTGGACAAAGAGAGGGCATCAGGATGGAGATCCGCCTCAGGAAAGGGAGGCTGCCATACTATCCTAGGGCACACTATGAGGAACGGTCCAGAGTTACCGAGAGCCTGGCTCTAGCCTCCCAAACTCAGGCTATCGTCTACTGCCTGCCACTGCCAATACCTCCGCCCACGGTCTGTCTCTGGGATGCCCACCACCCAGTGACAACCCTTTATGTATGCAATGTAGACCTTACCGTCTGTGGGACTAACTAACCAAGTTCTCCTTGATTGCATACTCAAACGCAGTCACAAGGCAAAGAGCACAAAGAGGAACCAACCCAAGGGCAGGAGAGCCGAGCAGCCCACCACCTCCCCACACTCACATCCGGAGGCACTTGTCTTTCCCACCACTAGCTACTCTCTGGCCGTCTGGACTCCAGTCGACAGCATACACCTAAGCCGAGGAGGGTAATGTGGTGTTGAGGCAGAGAGAGTCAGGCTGCATTCCCAGCCCCTTCCCTGCCCACAAGGGCCGGCCCTACCTCATCAGCATGGCCAGGTAGGTCTGTGGCCAGTTTCTGGGCCTTCACGTCCCACACCTTCAGTGTGCTGTCACTGCTGCCACTGACCAGCAGCCGGCTGTCGGCTGACCATGCAATTTGGTATACGGCAGCCACGTGGCCACGCAGGGAAGCTAGGTACCTGGACCAGGGAAGATGATAATGGATATTAGTTCTTCAAACATATCTGAAAGGTCCCCTATGCCCTCGGCAGTGGTACTCAATCTTGGCTGCCTGTTAGAATTACCTGGGAACTTCCATAACATCACCTGCTTGGCCCCCACCCCAGGCCATTTTAACCATTACTGGTCATTACTATCTGCAAAACTTCTCCAAGCAAATAGCTTCTACTCCTGCCAGGCCTTCACACCAAATGACTCTGCGTGCCTCAGACTCCAGTGTGGCCATCTGCTTAGCCCATCTGCCTGACATCCCCCAAATAGCAGCTGCCTGCTGATACATGGCATGGAGGAACAGCAGGTCAGGCCCACCTGGAACTTTCAAACCAGTACAGTCTAGCTATGTCTCTTAGGACATTAGGCCTCTCTGAGCCTCAGTTTCTTCATTTTAAAAAGGAAGTGAATTGCCCATTTCAAAAGGGTGCTGTGTGCAAGCACACAATGACCGATGCAGAGCTTCCCTGAAGCCCCAACCAGGCATTCCTTCCCTGGCTCCTTCTCTCCCTGGACCCTGCTTTGCCTTTTCTCCAATTTGATTATCCCCAAGGGCACGGTGCCAAGGCTTCCACATTTGAATGGGTAGCACAATCACCCACTGACTCTAGGGTCCAAGTTGGGGCCCAAGGCTCTACATTAAAACGAAAAAATTTTTTTATTTTAAAAAATTTTTTTATTGTAGAGATGAGGTCTCACCAAGTTGCCCAGGCTGGTCTCAAACCTGTGGGCTCAGGCAATCCTCTCACCTCAGCCTCCCAAAGTGCTGGGATTATAGGTATGAGCCACTGCAGCCTGGCTTAAGACTGCATTTCTATCAGGCCCCTAGGTGATACAGATACTACCAGTTTGTGACCCACACTTTGAGGAAGGCCACATGACTGTGCCACAAACCTACCTACTGCTTCACCTTCTCCAGAGCGGCATTCCTAGCCCTTTAGCTAGCTGAGATCATTTTTCTTTTAAGATATGAAATGAGTTAACATTTAATACTGGTCCTAAATATATTGTCTCCTTTAATCCTTATAACAAAGCTGAGGTAGGGGCCCTGCATATTACAGAGGAGGAAACAGAGGCTTGGAAAATCCCAACACTGGCCAAGCCCCTCCCACTACTCTGCTTACAGAAGATTAGTCCGTGCTCCCCACTCACTTGCCCATCCTGCCATCCCAGAGCTTGATGGACTTGTCGAAGGAGGCACTGGCCACGATGCGGGAGTCAGGAGAGAAGAGCACCTGGTTGATGAGGGCCTGGTGTCCTGTCATTCGTGCCAAGGGCTTCTTGTCCTCTGCTGGGGACCACAGGAATAAAGTGAAGTCATCTGAGCCAGATACCAGTCTCTCTGGGCCCTGGCCCTAAGGAAAGCAGAAAGCACACTATGTTGGACGTGGTCTCAGACAGGAGGAGAGCCTGACGTCAGCAGCAAACATACACCACTAATTACTCAACACCAGGGATAGACATGAGGCCAGGATTAGGAGAATTGAGGCCTGGGTCAGCCACTCACTCACGTGGCCTCAGGCAAGTCATTTCACCCAAAAGGAATAAAAAACTCTACATGCACATGGGATGATTTCTAAGATACACAATTACATGAAAAAGCAAAATACATAATGATGTGTTAAAAAGGGAAGAATTTTATGACTTATGTGCTTATATGTATATATTTGTGTGAATGACTATATTGTATATATACACATGTACATATTACATCTCTGGAAGATAAATCACAAGTTATTGGTAGTACTGGATGTTTCTAGAAGGAATGAGTAACTGCACAACAGACATGAAAGACTTTTCATATTCTTTGAACCTTAGACCACATGAATGTGTAAAGAACCCTAAATAAACTAAATAAAAGAAAAAAGAGGTATCTTGGGAATGTAATAAGTAGATAAGCAAATAAACAAAAGTGAAATAAAATGATCCCTAGCACATTAAGCTTTTAGGATTGCAAACTAGGATCATCAAGAACAACTTTTTGAATAGGTACAGTCCAAGCTGGGGCTAGAAGGGAGAGAGCTCTGCCTGCAGAAGGTTTTAGTGACTGAGGGAGAGAACAGAGGTGGAGACGCACGCAGCTG